AAAGCCTGGTGATGGGTATTAAGGAGGGCACGTACTGCATGGAGCACTGGGTGTTAAATGAAAACAATGGATCATGGATCACTACATCAAAAACTAATGATGTATTGTATAGTGACTAACATAACATAGTAACATTAAATTAAAAAAAAAAAAAGTTTAGAAACTAATGAAATGCCTCAGGGCTGGTTCTTTGAGTATGTCTGGATGTGAAGATACGTTAAATAAAGAGACAAGTTATCTGCCCTTTTGCTACCAACAGACAATGGTGATGTAGGGACAGTAGAAATATAATAGACATTCTCATCCAAACAGGAAAATGGGGAGCACATAGCAGTTACTCGTCTAGACCCGTTCATAGAGCCCGCTAATTATAAAATCCAGCTGGGGCCGTGTTTCTACTTCCTTGACGGGGCCAGTCTTCCTCCCTGGGAATGGTTCTCCTTGGTTCCCATATCCGTTCTCTGGGCTCTTGGTTTTACCCATAGTCATCTCTTCTTTTGCACAACGAGTAGCCTGTGTTTTCAGCTGAGTCGTTTTCTCAGTCGGCTTCCTTTGTGGGCACAGAGGTGTCTTTTCATTTTGGACAGTGTGTCTAGCTAACTGCTTCTGTAATACAATTCTCTTAAAAACTTCAGTGTTTGCATAACTTTTTGGGGGGTTAATTCCATTAGAGAAAAGTCACACACTTATCTTCCAGAGAAGCTCCTCTCTGGTTTGCTGTGACACGGGGTGCTGTGGGACAAAGCCTTCAAGATTCTGGATGCCTTTGTATTTAGATGAAACATTTTACAGTATTTTATCCTTAAGGTTCTTAAAGGCCCTTCTCTCCCGCCCCCCCACTTTTTTTAAAAAGAGGGTCCTGGTATATCCTTAAGATTCTTAGAAATCATGCTGGGCAAACCCTTAAATCTTACTGAGTCTTAATAAAGGTCTTATTTTTTTTTTTAAGATTTTATTTATTTGAGAGAGAGAGGGCACAAACAGAGGGAGCTGCAGAGGGAGAGGGAGAAGCAGGCTTCCCGCTGAGCAGGGAGCCCGACGCGGGGCTCGATCCCAGGACCCAGGGACCATGACCTGAGCCAAAGGCAGATGCTTAAATGACTGAGCCACTTAGGTGCTCCTTAATAAAGGTCTTATAAAAACACCTTTAAGGATCTTTACCCTGAGACTTTTTTTTTTTTTTTTAACTTTGAGATTATTTCACCATCCAGAGATTCTGGGACTGGGAAACATGTTTGTTTTGGAAACAGTAAGTCCTGGCTTCTTTATATTCCCTCTAAATTCTGCATGAAACTGAACATTTTCTTATTTGATCTCATCCCTCTCCATCAGTATTTTATCACATAGAGTCAAAAGAAACCAGTTGGTACTTTTGATATGCTGTCTGGAAATCTCTTTAGCCAGGTCTGACAGTTCCTTAGATACTTCTTAAAATTTTTTTATTTTTGTTTTAAAGTTTTTATTTATTTATTTGAGAGAGAGAGAAAACAGAGGGAGAGTGAGAGGGAGAAGCAGACTCCCCAGTGAGCAGGGGGCCCCATGTGGAGCTCCATCCCAGGACCCTGAGATCATGACCTGAGCCAAAGGCAGACGCTTAACAGGCTGGGCCACATAGGTGCACTTTAGATACTTTTTCTATTTGCTACATTACTATAGGCAACAATTTCACGAAACTTTTTACCACTGCTTCTTTTCTCCAGCCTCCAGAAACATCTTCCTGCTGCCCTTTGACACTTTACCAATAGTTGCCTCCAGGTCTTTTACCTTTCACTCACTTCTAGGCTCCAAAGCCAATGCCATGTGCCTTAGGGTTATGTTACAATAGCATCCCACTTCTAGGACAGAATTCGGTTTCACTTACCTATTATTGTATCACAAGTGGCTACAAAATTTGGTAGCTTAAAGTGGCAATGATTTTATTATATGTCATAGTGTTATGTCTCAAAAATTCAAGAAGGCCTCAATTGGGTGATTCTTTTGTTCTACATGATGTTAGCTAGGTCATCCCACCCACCATGTTTAGTTGACAGAAGGGCTGATCTGGAGGGGCTAAGAGAAATTTACTCAATCTAATTAGTGAAATGGCTGGGATTGGAAACCGATCTTCCATCTCCTACTGCAGAGAGCTTTTCTTCTACATCAGGTGATCAAATCTGTCTTTGACTTTTCTATTGTAGGAGGAGTTCTTAGGCTTGTATTCAAACCTTTAGGAGGGAGAGAAAGAGATTTCCTTCATGGATAGGGAATCATCCTGGACATCCTTGAATCTCTGTGTGTATTCCGTGGGATGTTCTGGACTCATGCTTTGCAGATGCTCTTTGCATGTTGGTACCACACTTGGGAATAATATATAAATATGATGGGTTTTTTTCTCATTTTGTCCTCATTGTCTGAGTGACAGGGCTTTCCATTATAATTTATCTTTAATTCACTAAGCTCTTTTCTGCCTAACCTGCCTTTCTGATGACCAGGCAAGCTTCCTGCATCCATGTTTCCCTAATGTTATAACTGGGGCTATCCAGTAAGGAACTATAATCCTTGCCCCTAGAAATAGGGTTTATAGTCAGGATGTCAAGGCTACAACATCAAGTCCTGTTCTGACCTTGTACTGAGATTTATAGAATTTCCAAGGCCTTCCTTCCTACTCAGTTGACTGAGGCCATAGCCTTGCACCCACAATCTGTTTTGGGTTTCACTTTTGGTTTATTTTGCCTCTGTCTATTTTTATGTGATTGGGGTCCATCTTGCTCTCATTCCATCAGATAGAATATGGGGATTATTTTATTTTATTTATTTATTTTTTTTTTAAAGATTTTATTTATTTATTTGACAGAGAGAGACACAGCGAAAGAGGGAATACAAGCAGGGGGAATGGGAGAGGGAGAAGCAGGCTTCCCGCAGAGCAGGGAGCCCGATGCGGGGCTTGATCCCAGGACCCCGGGATCATGACCTGAGCTGAAGGTAGACGCTTAACGACTGAGCCACCCAGGCGCCCCATGGGGATTATTTTAAACTAGTGATAAAAGCACATCAGAAATCTTTTGGTGGGAAGGATTAATGTGGATTTTGGGGGGAAAAAAGATCAGTTTACTTCTTTGCTAAAAAACACAATGAGTAGAGGAAAAATGAATCAGAAGAATAAAAAAGACACAGGACATTATCTCGAGCAAAATGGACATGAAACAAACTACAAAGCAAATACTGTGCACAATTATTGACCAAAAAGGAGAGAGGCTAGGTTTAGAAAACAAATATTTTTCAACACAGACACATACGAAGCCAGAAGGCATTTTAATGTTCTGTTTTTGGTTTGTTTTTTTTTTTATCATCTATGCCAGGAGAATTTATGATCAGAACATTTCTTCATCATTTTTAGAATTAATAATAAAAAACGGAGAATGGCATATTAAGTGAGGATTCTGTTTTCCACAACACGTTTGGCAATAGACACCCAGAATGACCCAACGAGCAGTGAGGAAACAGAGGCTCGGGAACCCCCACATTTAGCTTTCTCTCTTTTTTTTTTAAAAGATTTTATTTATTTATTTGACAGAGGGAGGCACAGCAAGAGCAGGAACACAAGCAGGGGGAGCAGGAGAGGGAGAAGCAGGCTTCCCGCAGAGCAGGGAGCCCGATGCGGGGCTCGATCCCAGGACCCTGGGATCATGACCTGAGCGGAAGGCAGACACTTAACGACTGAGCCACTGAGGCGCCCCTTTTTAAAGAACTAACACCTAACAACCCAGGGGCTCAGATAAGCTCAGATTAGTATGACCAGTTTAAGAGTTTAAATGGTCAAGTTACTTAAACTGATACATAATAAGCTATTTACAAGATTGCTAGTTACTCCCGAAGTAATTTTTTTTTCCCGCAGAAAAAATGGTTTTATGAGGCCATATTATATAATATGGTATATATGGACATCCCATATATGTCTATAACTAGACTTTCACATTGAATGGGAAGACTGGAGCCATGTCAGACTAGTAATCCAAAGAGTGCTTCATTTTTGTTTTGATCCAAATGTACAGAAAAGATCTTCAGCTGACTAGATTATTATATTATACTGTCTCATTTGAGAATTCGAGACTATGTTACAAAGTTGTGGAATGAAGTGCTGTGAGGCCCCTTGCTGCACTGGTGACGACATGGGCCTCAGAGAGGTCGAGAAACCTATCCAAAGTCACACAGCCGGCCAGCATTGGAGCCAGGGCTGAATCCACTTTCTGCATTCCCATATTTGAATTTTCAAATCTGGACCTCTCCCCAGGCATACAAACATAGTATTCACTGTCTAAAAATCTGATGTGTCTTTTCATTTTTTTTTTCTTTTCATTCATATGGTTTTGGATTTTCATTACTTCTCATTTACTCATTTGTTCATTCAGTCAGCAAATATTTGAGTGGCTACTATGTGCTGGGCATGTTCTATGCTCTGAGTGATACAGCATGTATGGACTTTATATTCCACTTGGAAAGATAGGTAAAGAGAGAAAGAAAGAAAGAAAGAAAAGAAAGAAAGAAAGAAAGAAAGAAAGAAAGAAAGAAAGAAAGAAAGAAAGAAAGAAAGAAAGAAAGAAAGAAAGAAAAGGAAAAAGAAAGAAAGAAAAGGAAAAAGAAAGAGAAAGAGAAGTAAGGAAGGAAGGAAAGAGGGAAGGAAGGAAGGAGGGAGGGAGGGAGGGAAGGAAGGAAGGAAGGAAGGAAGGAAGGAAGGAAGGAAGGAAGGAAGGAAGGAAGGAAGGAAGGAAGGAAGGGGGCCAAGGGTGCTAGGAGTAACTTTTTGGACTAATGGACAGAGGGACAAGTTCTCTAATACAAAGTGACTTTGGAACACAGATATGAAGGAAATCGGGAGCCGGGAAGGGCAGGCTTCATGGGTATACGACCTATGCAGTGCTATAGGGCATCACACTTGGTTTACTGCTCTACTGTCACCATCTTGAGATTCTTAATGATTTTTTTTAACAAAATGTATTTTCATTTTATACCGGGCCCAACAGACTATGCAGCTGGTCCTGGACCAGGAATGAACTATGTGATAATGGAGGAAAGAGATCTGCAGACGAAAGATACTAGTGAGCACACAGGGGCTAAAATGAACAAGGAATAGAAGGTGAGTCAACTGGAGTGGGGCAGGAGGAAGGGAGAGTGGCAGGAGGTGGCATCGGTGAGGTGGGCGGGGGGGCTTTGGCTGCCACTCTGAGATGGCAAAGCCATTGACCAGAACAGTGACATGATTTGACCTTCATTTAAAAACAATTATCCTGGATTTGAGCTATTTGGCTATTGTAAGAGTGCAGTGTAAGATTAACCTATTTCCCAAAATAGGCTAATAGCAATTTTACCAAAATTAGTTCCATAACTTATAAGGAAGCCTTTTTCATTTTTTTAAAAAAAACTCAAAATGTTAAACAAACATATTAAAAACTTCACGAATGTGACAAATTATCAACTCTCAGTGGTTATACAGACCAAATGTTTTTAAAAATTTATTCCTTTCCTAGATGGTTTCAATTTTTAGATACTTACAGCTGTAATTCCTAACCACAAATATTCCTATCCACAGAAATATCCTTTTCTTTATCTAGTTTTACTAGGAGGACCATACATATCCTAGAGAATGTTAAATCTTCTGCTATACTTCGATTCCCTCCCTTGAGAAAGAGAAGAAAAAAAAATCATGCTCCATTGTTGAATAACACCACTATTTCATGAAAGAAGATGTTTCTGCCAAATGTCCAAAGGAAAGAATCTTAATTCTAATGCTAATTGGAGCATTTCTTTCTGAAAAATTAAAAACTATAAGTTTCAGAAATGAAATCTGAAGATTATCCAGTGTTAAATACATGGAATCAAAAAAAAAATGAAATTTGATATAAAGCATGAAAAAGAAAATTCAGAGTTGCCAAAGGATATTCTAGAGTGAAAGAGAGGCATGGGGTCCATGAAATACATTCGAGCTTTATATTTGTAGTTATAGAAGTACCTTTGTAATGTGGGGTCCAAGCGTGCCTGTCAAAGTTGTTGGGAAATTCTTACGGGAAAAATAATGTTCCCTCAAGGATGTCCTGTGCATGCACAATCCTTCCAGCAACGTCGCAAGTGCTTTCATATCTTTTCTCTCACTTCATCCTCACCATTTCTGAAATGAGTAAGGTGGGTTTTATTTTAATGTGTAGATGAATAAATGGAGAGTAAAGGATTTAAATAGTAAGCTCAAGGTCAATAGCAAAGTAATGACAACAGGAATCTAGATGTCTTGACTCAGTTCAGTATTCATTCCGTGTCCTCATACGTGTTCCTTTCATGCTAAGGAGATGCAGTGGCAACTGGATGTGCTTAGTAAAAATAGGCCAAAATATACCTGCTGTACAGTGGTCACTTACGGGGGCACAAGGAGTAAAAAGAGGAAACACACACACACACACACACACTCTGTTAAAAAGGAATATAAATTGAACTTCTTCACAATTAGAAACTTGTGCTTTGCAAAAGATACTGTTAAGAAAATGAAAAGACATGCCATGGACTGAGAGAAAATATTGGCAAAATACAAAAGTCTTGTATCCAGAATATATAAATTACTTTGCAAATTCAATAATGAGAAAATATCTAACACAATTAAACATTAAAAATATTTGGACATTTGGATACACACTTCGCCAAAAAGTGGTGGATGGCTAGTAAGCCTGTGGAATGTTGCTCATCTTCATTAGTCATCAGAAAAATGCAAATTAATATCACGATGAGATACTGCTACGCACCTAATACAAACGCTAAAATAAAAATATCAAGACAATGCAAAAACGAATAAGCATATGAAGCAGTGGAACTCTCATATATTGCTGGTGGGAATGTATTTTTTTTTTTATAAAACATTATTTTTTAATTTTATTATCTTATGTTAGTCACCATACAATTCATCATTAGTTTTTGATGTAGTGATCCACGATCCATTGTTTTCGTATAACACCCAGTGCTCCATGCAGTACGTGCCCTCCTTAATACCCATCACAGAGCTAACCAATCCCCGCTCCCCCCTCCCCTCTAAAACCCTGTTTGTTTCTCAGGTCCATAGTCTCTCATGGTTCATCTCTCCCTCCAATTTCCCCCGCCCATTATTCCCTTCCTTCTCCTAATGTCCTCCATGTTATTCCTTATGTTCCACAAATAAGTGAAACCATATGATAATTGACTTTCTCTGCTTGACTTATTTCACTTAGCATAATCTCCTCCAGTCCCATCCATGTTGATGTAAAAGTTGGGTATTCATCTTTTCTTTTTTTTTTTTATTTTTTTATTCTTATGTTAATCCCCATACATTACATCGTTAGTTTTAGATGTAGTGTTCCATGATTCATTGTTTGTGCATAACACCCAGTGCTCCATGCAGAATGTGCCCTCCTCAATACCCATCACCAGGCTAACCCATCCTCCCACCCCTCTCCCCTCTAGAACCCTCAGTTTGTTTTTCAGAGTCCATTGTCTCTCATGGTTCGTCTACCCCTCCGATTGCCCCCCTTCATTCGTTCCCTCCTGCTACCTTCTTCTTCTTCTTCTTCTTCTTCTTCTTTTTTTTTTTTCTTAACATATATTGCATTATTTGTTTCAGAGGTACAGATCTGTGATTCAACAGTCTTGCACAATTCATAGCGCTTACCAGAGCACATACCCTCCCCAGTGTCTATCACCCAGTCACCCCATCCCTCCCACCCCACCCCCCACTCCAGCAACCCTCAGTTTGTTTCCTGAGATTAAGAATTCCTCATATCAGTGAGGTCATATGATACATGTCTTTCTCTGTTTGACTTATTTCGCTCAACATAATACCCTCCGGTTCCATCCACATTGTTGCAAATGGCAAGATTTGATTCCTTTTGATGGCTGCATAATATTCCATTGTATATATATACCACTTCTTCTTTATCCAGTCATCTGTCGATGGACATCTTGGCTCTTTCCACAGTTTGGCTATTGTGGACATTGCTGCTCTAAACATCGGGGTGCACGTACCCCTTCGGATCCCTACTTTTGTATCTTTGGGGTAAATCCCGAGTAGTGCAATTGCTGGATCATATGGTAGCTCTATTTTCAACGTTTTGAGGAACCTCCATACAGTTTTCCAGAGTGGCTGCACCAGCTTGCATTCCCACCAACAGTGTAGGAGGGTTCCCCTTTCTCCGCATCCCCGCCAACATCTGTCGTTTCCTGACTTGTTAATTTTAGCCATTCTGACTGGTGTGAGGGGGTATCTCATTGAGGTTTTGATTTGGATTTCCCTGATGCTGAGCGATATTGAGCACTTTTTCATGTGTTTGTTGGCCATTTGGATGTCTTCTTTGGAAAAATGTCTGTTCATGTCTTCTGCCCATTTCTTGATTGGATTCTTTGTTCTTTGGGTGTTGAGTTTGATGAGTTCTTTATAGATTTTGGATACTAGCCCTTTATCTGATATGTCATTTGCAAATATCTTCTCCCATTCTTTCAGTTGTCTTTTGGTTTTGTTGACTGTTTCCTTTGCTTTGCAAAAGCTTTTTATCCTGATGAAGTCCCAATAGTTCATTTTTGCCCTTGCTTCCCTTGCCTTTGGCGATGTTTCTAGGAAGAAGTTGCTTTGGCTGAGGTCAAAGAGGTGCTGCCTGTGTTCTCCTTTAGGATTTTGATGGACTCCTGTCTCACATTGAGGTCTTTCAACCATTTGAGTCTATTTTTGTGTGTGGTGTAAGGAAATGGTCCAGTTTCATTCTTCTGCATGTGGCTGTCCAATTTTCCCAACACCATTTGTTGAAGAGACTGTCTTTTTTCCATCGGACATTCTTTCCTGCTTTGTCAAAGATGAGTTGACCATAGAGTTGAGGGTCCATTTCTGGGCTCTCTATTCTGTTCCACTGATCTATGTGTCTGTTTTTGTGCCAGTACCATACTGTCTTGATGATGACAGCTTTGTAATAGAGCTGGAAGTCCAGAATTGTGATGTCGCCAGCTTTGCTTTTCTTTTTCAACATTCCTCTGGCTATTTGGGGTCTTTTCTGGTTCCATACAAATTTTCGGATTATTTGTTCCATTTCTTTGAAAAAAGTGGATGGTATTTTGATGGGGATTGCATTGAATGTGTAGATTGCTCTAGGTAGCATTGACATCTTCACAATATTTGTTCTTCCAATCCATGAGCATGGAACGTTTTTCCATTTCTTTGTGTCTTCCTCAATTGATTTCATGAGTATTTTATAGTTTTCTGAGTAGAGATCCTTTGCCTCTTTGGTTAGATTTATTCCTAGGTATCTTATGGTTTTGGGTGCAATTGTAAATGGGATCGACTCCTTAATTTCTCTTTCTTCTGTCTTGTTGTTGGTGTATAGGAATGCCACTGACTTCTGTGCATTGATTTTATATCCTGCCACTTGACTGAATTCCTGTATGAGTTCTAGCAGTTTTGGGGTGGAGTCTTTGGGGTTTTCCACATAAAGTATCATATCATCTGCAAAGAGTGAGAGTTTGACTTCTTCTTAGCCAATTTGGATGCCTTTTATTTCTTTTTGTTGTGATATTACTGTGGCTAGGACTTCTGGTACTATTTTGAATAGCAGTGGTGACAGTGGACATCCCTGCCACGTTCCTGACCTTAGGGGGAAAGCTCTCAGTTTTTCCCCATTGAGAATGATATTCGCTGTAGGTTTTTCATAGATGCCTTTTATGATATTGAGGTATGTACCCCTATGCCTATACTCTGAGGAGTTTTGATCAGGAAAGGATGCTGTACTTTGTCAAATGCTTTTTCTGCATCTATTGAGAGGATCATATGATTCTTGTTCTTTCTTTTGTTAATGTATTGTATCACATTGATTGATTTGCAGATGTTGAACCAACCTTGCAGCCCAGGGATAAACCCCACTTGGTCGTGGTGAATAATCCTTTTAATGTACTGTTGGATCCTATTGGCTAGTATTTTGGTGAGAATTTTTGCATCCATGTTCATCAGGGATATTGGTCTGTAATTCTCTTTTTTGATGGGGTCTTTGTCTGGTTTTGGGATCAAGGTAATGCTGGCCTCATAAAATGAGTTTGGAAGTTTTCCTTTCATTTCTATTTTTTGGGACAGTTTCAGAAGAATAG